CAACAGCGGCCCGCGTCCTCACTTCCTAGCGGTCTGTCCAGGCCTCTCCGGGCCTTGTGGGAACCCGGCCTGTGCCGGGAGCCTCTCCCCGCAGTGCGGCTCTGAGCAGCAGCTGCTTCTCCCCGCAGGCACTCCGCCACCTCCGCCACGCCACACCACACGGGATGTGTAAAGGTCACCGGACGAGGCCTGCAGTCTCAGACGCCCCAAGCACAGAGAAATGGCTGTCCCTCAGCTCCTGGTGGGGAGCCCAGAGGCGGCCTGTCACACCCAGGGGACAGGATGGGAAAGGACTCACGGGACCCTGGCAGGCTCTGGCTGGTCACGGGAGGCCTGGCAAGGGCAGGTCTGTGAGGACAAGGGTGCCATGAGAGCCGGGCACAGGCTGGCTGTGCACCCCTGCTGGACAGCGGCATGGTGGTGGTGGACAGCTAAGCGAAGGCAGCTTGGGGGGCGCGTGGCCGTGCTGCCTCGGCCACTGACCAGGAAGGCCGGGCTCCTGCTGCCCAGTCCCGGCCGCCTCGGCCTCCACTGCCTCAAATGAAAACATCCGAGCGTCAGAATCCCGCATCTACAGAGGCTACTGCGGGCAGATCAGCTCAACGGATCCTCCATTTTCTCATCTGCACCAGCTGTATCTGCTCAACACAAGGGAGGTTCTGCCCAACAGCAAATGCAAGGGACCTGGCTGGGGCTGGCCGGGACGGGGGAATGGCGGGGCACATGGGTATCTACAACAGGCCCTGGGGCATGTGACATGCCACCTCCCAGGGTTTATCTGCCGGCAGTGGGGGCGGGAGCCCAGAAAGGGAAGTAGGAATGCCCAGCGAGGCCACCACCCGCCGCAGGAGGAAGAGACCTGGCAGCGGTGCCACCTGGGTGTCTCCCCACGCTGTGAGGAATGCCCTCTGCCAGGGAGCAGGCAGGCCCCCAGGGACTCTGCTGCCTAGAGCTGTCACACAGGACATTCCGTGGGGTTCAGCAAGTGCCTGCTCCAGCAAGGTCCCCTCGTCCCCCCCACTCTGAAGGCGGGGTATGGTGTACGGTGGAGCCCCAAAGGTTGGAGGGAAGGAGGCTGGGGAAGCTGGCAGGGCCCAGCCAGCCAGAAACAATGCAGGCAGGGAAGGAGTGGGTGGCCAGGCTGGACGGCAACCAGGCCAGTTAATGCTGCCCTCAGTGGGGTCTGCCCTGCTAAGGAGCAGAACTGCCTGTGGCTCTGTTCCTTTCCCATCAGCTTCAGGGAACAGGCACTGGGAGACCCTCCTTGGGATGACAGTGCCGGAGCCTACTTTATCTACCCTACCCAGACCCACCCATCCAGACAGAGGGGAAAGGAAGCAGAAGGTGACGAAGGCTGGGGGAGCCCCCTTTGACCTGATCTGGAAGGCAGGGCTGCAGGCAGGAGGTGGGCGAGCAGGTGCCCCCTCGCCTGCCCCCTCCCCCTCGCCACCCTCCTCCCCCAGCCTGAGACAGCCGTTATGAAAATAACCCGATTGGTAACCGACTGCACTTCCTCTCCCAGCAGCAGCTCCAGGCCCGAGGCAGGCGGCGGGTGGGCGGGCAGGCCGGGGTGCAGGAGCCATGCCTCCTGGCTCCCATCCCAAAGTCCCGGAGCCAAGCTGAGCGACAGCCAACAGTGTCCCCTCCACGGGCACCCTTACAGCCCGGCCGATGCCTTGGCTCTGGCTGGCGTTGTAGCGGGAGGCGTACCCCAGCAGCTCCCCTTTCACGGAAGGGGGGCTGGCCACCCAAGGCTCCTCTCACGCCCACCAGACAGGCCTTCAGGTCCTGAGGCACCTAAGCATTCTGGCTCCTAACAAAATCACAAAAATCAGCAC